CCAACCGACACATCAAAAGTACTTTGTTGCTTAAACTATACACAGGCTTTGCTGGTGTTGCTGATACTATTGTTTGGATATTTTCTACAATATTTATGTTCATATCGGTAATTGCATTCAAGCTCTTTTACAATTTTGTTTTTTAACAATAAAACTAATATAACSCAAATTTTTACATTTTCAGCGGCGATCGCGGTTTTATTGCACACGATCAAGACCTCACAAACGATCCCAGCTCCAATGCCACCTACACCGTCGGTCAACTGCTGTTCGGCCACATTTTTCCCAACGCGCTGAATCTATGCAGTTTCATATCGGCTGTAATTGTTTTCAAAATACTCGATCAAGAGCAATTACAGAATCTGATCGAACGTGTTTTTCTCACTACCTTGGAACCGCGTCGCTTGTGTAAATTACTCTGGTCATATTTGTTATGTGGAGTGGTGTTGTTGGCCTTCCTCTTCGCTTATACAATTCCTTCGGTGCTTTTGCAGTCGCGCATCATACAAGTTAAATGGTTTACTGGCATACTGGCGGACTGGGAGTTGGCGACTAAGGTGCTCTTTATTTTGGATTGCATTGCATGTTGGTAATTTATATTTTTGTCGCAGATTGTCTTGATCGTCACGCTTTTTGTGCAGGACTTGGTGGAAGTGATAATACTCGCCAACTATTGCATCCAGTGTTATTTGCTTCGAGTGCACATTTCTGCGCTGTCACATAAACTTTTGATGCATTCCATTGAGACCACCGATTGGATGCGGGTAATTAAAACTAATAAATACCATCAGATCAAATTTGAACCGGACTGACAACAGACTATATGTTAACATATTTTAATAGAAAACTTTATTATCYCTACAAAATAGGCTACTGAAAAGACCAGTCCGGGTCAAATTTGATCCGATGTTATAAATTATTTTAAAAAGATCTCTTCTTTTTATTGGCTTACGCGATTATTGTCGAGTTTAGAACAGTGCGCTCTTTCCTTTCGCTGTTTGGCGTCAATTGCAGATTCCAAGAGTAGCCAGGTCCTTCTGCCCTTGGTCTTTCCAACGGTGKGTAGGTCTTCCTCTTCCTCCGGGAGTGTTTTCATTCATTCGGATGACAAGAGCCAGCGTAGCCTCTGTCTCTTAATTCACTCAACTATGTCAATGTCGTTGTGTATCTCGTAGAGTTCATCGGTCCAACGAACCATTTTAAATAGACCAGCCCAGATTAAATTTGATCACGCGGTATAAAAATGAGTATAAAAGGCTCATGGTTGTTATCTTTACAAAAGTCGTTAAAACTGTCTGCTTCATCCTACTAACAAAAAAAAATGTTTTTCGAAAGGTTTTTAAAGTTCAACAAGTAACTCATTGAATCTGTTATAGTCTATGAGGTTGCCAGAGTTGGTTTAAAACTTGTTTAAACTCGTCAAACCCAAAATATTTATAAGACTAATAGCATTCGCGATGCTTTTCAGTCGGAAAGAAGTTGATGAAGTTGATGGCTAGCCATAGCTTTGTAAAGAATAAGACAACTTAAACATATTGGTCTATTAGCCTACAAATTTCCAAGCGATTCTCTCAGCTTTTCCTAGCATGTATTCKTTGAAACTTATTATGGTTAACTTTTTGTATAATTAATTAAAATCTAATCGCTCGATAATATTGTTTTTGTATTTGGTTTACGGTATCAGACTTTAGAAATATCGTAMATGACACTTATTACTCACTATCGACACTAAATTAACTAGCAACTCAAAATTGATTTTATTCCACAGGAGGTACTGGAATTTCACAAGTTATTGGAGCATCTCAATCGACATGCTGCTGTGCCTGTGTGTTTTTTAACCGTTATGAATTTAGCTTATGCATTTGCCGGTCTAATATATATTTTCAACGATTTGGATTTTCATTATTCTGCTTTGGAAATAGTACTTTTGAATATTTTCAACGTATTACTTTGGCTTCTACTGGGTGTAATACCATTTGTGTTGGCCGCTTCGGTAACGCATGCGTGCCAAAAGGCGCAGGCTAACGGTCATCATATTCGTGCACGTCCTTTTGTTTATCACAGCACGTCGACGGATGATTTGAACTCTACACTGTTGTTTTCGTCGTCCTTACAAATGTCAGCGAAAATTTTTAAAATGCCCATTCAACCCAATTATCTTTGTTGTGCATTATTRTCCATATCGATACTGGTTTTAACACTGGGAATGTGTCTTAACCCTTCGATTATAGGTATTTTTTAACAGTATATACGCCTCATTTTAAACAACTAAAATAAATATATGTGCTTATGGTGTTGTAAAATCGGGCTTTTCTTTTTAGCATAATAAGAAAAATAATAATTCGTTGCTASTAGAGAAGTTTAATTACTAATTCTGTTTGGAAGCAATTCGCCGTCACTGTAAAAGCGCTCGCAAATTTAAATACAAAGTTTTATTGCTCACAGCACACCCTGTTTCACATTTAAGTGGTGTAGCTCTCTAAAGAGCATAATAAAAACCCCCTTTTTGAAGTAAATAGTTCATGAGAGCTAATGCAACTTTGATTAAATAATTTATGAATATAAGAATATATATATATATGAATATAGAATAAACTTATTATAACTAAACTTCATATATTAGTTAATTGTACAGTTTAGCAAAGCGGCACTAAACAGTGTGCAACCTGTCTCTTATACACATCTAGATGTGTATAAGAGACAGGAGCTAATGCAACTTTGATTAAATAATTTATGAATATAAGAATATATATATATATGAATATAGAATAAACTTATTATAACTAAACTTCATATATTAGTTAATTGTACAGTTTAGCAAAGCGGCACTAAACAGTGTGCAACAGCACAAATGCAACACTGATTGTTGATTTTTGCTGTTGTGTTGTTTTGTTTCTATACATATTTCTTGGCTGGTTGGTTGGGATTAAAAATCAGTCGCTGGAGGAGAACAGCTGAAAACTAAGATGTGTGAAAATACAAAGCTATATAATAAATAAATGTAGTTAAGTTAAGCGCAATATTAAGGAAATATGAAGTTTTTAATTTAATTAACAAAAAGGCTGAAAATTATTGTAACAGTGGCCAATAAAGGCGTAAGAATTTGAGGACTCGCACTGGTGTTTAAGAAACAGTAGCCGTGAAATAACAAAGGTATGTACTAATAAAATGTAAGAGAAGGGCTTAAAGATTTTGATGTACCCTTGTTCTTATAATAATTGCACCTAATTGGCCTGTGTTAAGCAAAAGTATAGAAAAAGAAGAATAGCAGGAAAAATCGTTAAACAAATAGGGAGGATGCAAGGTTGTGAGGATTTTTTATAACTCTTACTAATGTGATGAAATTTAATTTACCAAGGTTACTTGAAAACAAAAAGAAACTACAAATTGCCATAGAAAAAAATATTGCTATTGTGCGCACATACATAATTTATATAGACAAAAAAAAAAAGTAATTCAAACAACTACAAGGTTTAGCGGTTTGGATGCTGTTAGCAAGATGTTTGGGCATGTATGTAAATAAGTATTTGTGCAAAATTTAATTGAAGTTGATTTACGGGATAATATTGTACTTGCCTAGGAGTACTTACAAACATATACACGAGTAAAATTCTATGTGTTGCATGAAATGCTTCTTTTACCGTATAAGTGATATATGTATATACATAAGTAATTTTGAGTTAATTTATTCTTATAAATTTCACATGTTATATCAACTGCACACAAATTAGGCAGACCGATAGCTACGTTGATGTGAGCGTGTAAACTTCAGTGTCTACTTAACTCGAGGAGGCACCAAGCAGTGGCAGACCACAGTAGGACGAGGAAGTGCAACATTAGGTGCTACTATAGTGTGCATTTTGTAGAACAAAGCTAATCACCATGATAAGTGCATTGCTCTCACGATTCATAATGTAAGTACACCAACACAATATGCCAATTGGAATACACTTCTTATAATCTAAACTTTTAAAATATACAAAAWATGATAGTAATTACTAAAATAAACTAAAATACAATTGCCTACTTAGGAAATTGAAAACGTTAAAAGCATTCTGGCATTACTTCCGGTTTTTGAACGAATTATCATTATTAGACCCCGTAGTGACGTATGCATTGATTGCTTTGACGACGCTTTCTATGCTGTAGTTGCTTACAAGCAAAGCGACAAAAAACATACAGAAAAAAATAAAGCAGACGAAACTACCGAACCGTTATATGTGGGCCTTGTTAGTAACATTTTTATTAGCTTTTGTTGAAGCAATTGTCGCCGACACGTCATTACCCGTTTTCCTTTAAACCTTAGCATATTTAGAAATACCACTTTTCAGGTAACTGAACTGCAACAATTTCGTTCACCAAAAAAAGAGCGCGTAGTTCGCTTCATTTGCTCTATCGCATGCGTGAATGAATAGGCGTCGTTCAAGTACTCCGGGCACACAAAACAATTTGCAAGTAAATATGTATATATTTGTAAGCAATGTATGGAGTTTATAAGCACACGATCATATGTACAATAAATGTGTCAGAGAATATGTGTCCATTAATAAATACAGCTGTGTGCCATTACGTCTTTTCAAGAGTCATACACGGCATTTTAGTATGAGCAGAGCACAAGAAATCAAACAACGGATTAATATGCTACGGTCGCTGCTATAAAGATATACGAAACGCGCCTATATAAATATTTACAATTTTATATACTTGTTTATAGATGTGTTATCGAAAATAAAACTTCCATTTAGAAAAGTATACATTTTGTAAATTTTCATAGATCCTTTGCAACTTTACCACCGATACGCATACAATCATTTCAACATGCCAAACTCAGCTGCTAATGTTTTTCTAGTGCAACTGTTTCCCACTTTTCACTCTCGTTGAGCATATTTTTAGTGTACGAGACAGGCCAAATGTACGTTTCGAAAACGATTTCGAAATGTTACTCGAAATTTTCATGCTATTTTTAAATATGAGCGTCTGCTGCTACTACAAAACTCATTCAGAAATTTTATTGTATTGTGCAAATTGCTATTGAGCATAATATATTGTTGCCGCAGTACAAACTCTATTCAGTGCCTGTTCAGTAGGCAAATAATTGGCATTTATAGTAGATTGTTTTCAAAAATTTCGCTTGATTTTACAAAATACACAATTTAAGAAAGAAAACTGGAAACTGAATGCTTGCCACGATAGCGGAAAGCGYCCGCAATAAAAGCGGCCAATAAGCTGGTATTGTGTGTGTAGTGAAATGCATAGTAGCGATTGGAAGAATCATGCTGGAGGAGAGTGGCCATCGCCGCGGGAGGTGCCATACCAGCAGCAAAAATTCTTACAAAAGCGACCACAACGTTTACAATATGGCCAACAGGCAGGCAACGCAACATTTTATGAACGTTGGCACGTCAACCCAGCAGCAGCGTATCCACCGCCCATGTACGCAACGGACGACAGTGGTTGCTATCGCCGCTATTCGTTAGATGCACCACCTGAATCGTTGATTTATTATAATCGTAATCCAACAGCCGCATTTATTGGACATTCACTTGATAATGTTGATGGCCCTTCCCCTGCMWTTTCTAATACATTATTATACCCGAATACTTGGCATATTGGCGACGATGAGCCGCCACCACTACCGGACAATGTACGCCGTGCATTCTATTTTAAACAAAAGAGCACACAATCGCTAGCAGTTGATGCAAATATTATAAATACAGAGCAGGTTGTGCATAATTTGACTTTGTTCGGACGTTTTTTGGAAGTAGTGCAGAGTTGGCCATTGCCCCATGTTTCATTTACAACGGCTTGTATTTTAGTTTTGATAGCCACATTTATATCACCACGTTTATGGGCACAAAATATTATATTTCCTGCTTTCAGATTATCCTTTGGTACTCTGTATCCAGCATACGCTTCTTACAAGGCTGTACGCACCAAAAATGTGAAAGAATATGTGAGTAATGAAATTGTTTTTTTTTTTTAAACAAAGTACGCTATAAATAGATGAATACAACTTTGTTTCCTCTTTTTAGGTGAAATGGATGATGTATTGGATTGTGTACGCTTTCTTTACATGCATCGAAACATTTACGGATATCTTTCTTTCATGGTTTCCATTTTACTATGAAGTGAAAGTGATCATTGTTTTATGGCTTTTATCGCCCGCTACAAAGGGTAGCTCTACATTGTACAGGAAATTCGTACACCCCATGCTAACACGCAGAGAACAGGTGCGAAACATTTTTTTGTTTTTTCAAATACATAAATAATTCCACAGTATGTAGTAAAGCTTTTATAGTGTTAGTGCAGCTTTAGCGAACATTCGAATGACAACGTTTAGAAACKTATTTTTCTTATAAAAAATTCTATAACTACAAAATATAGCAGCAACAAAGTAAATGCACTCTGATTGTACATTTCAGCTTTTAAGCATATTGGCTGGATAACAATCTGAGTCCCGTTCCGATTACATAGACCCGACCGTGGTGGAAACGGTCGAGATAAACATCTTGTTGTTGTTCTTRTAGTGGCAGAATTCTGCCGAGTTGAGTCTTTCGCTGGATAAAAATCCAGGTCTGTTCCGGTTTCGTAGACTCTCTTTTTTTTTATACGTCTATTTGCTATAGGAAATGCACCTGGGAAGGGTTTTATCGCTCTAGTGCAGCCGTAGTTAACGTCTTTCAGAACAGAAAAAACTTAGAMACAGACTTTAATTTGCATGTAGTAATTTAAATCCACATAATATATTTTTTGCTTCCTACCACTTTTTAGGAAATCGACGAATACCTCAATCAAGCCAAAGAACGTGGCTACTCAGCTGTATTACAATTGGGCACCAAAGGCGTCAACTATGCTACCAATGTCATCATGCAAACAGCGCTCAAGGTAAATGTTTTTCAACGCACCAATAATTAAAAAAATGCCACATATTTTTTAGCGATCAAAAATCATTATGTAAACAAGTTCACTACTTTGTGTTCATCACAACTGCAAGCAAAATACTCGTATTTAACCGAAACTCATCAAACATCATCATTATAAGTAAAAATATTAATTATATATACATATACATATATATATCTCTTGTAAACAAAACAAAAAATACGCCGCTTATTAAAYGCGCTGAAGATGCATTTGGTCGACTGGGGCGCAATTGTGCAGCAACAGACTAACTTTTTGTTTAGTTTCTGTGCAGTTCAATGCAAGACATTTGCTAAAGTTGTAGTTATTATGCATAAAATTTGAAATTTCTTTGGTTTTAAAGCTTTATAAATATGTAATCGTGTTAAGCAAACGCAGCTGCGCCCATTACTTGAACATATGCATCGCAGTTATATATATTTTATTAATTTAATTTAATTGAGTTAAGCGGTTTCATATTTGATTTCATCATTTAAACATTTTGTATGCCAAAACAAATAAATGTATTATGTTGCGCCATTTTAAATGTCTTTTGATTTTTTTTTTGAGAATTCTTTTTGAAGTAAAAACAAAAAGCTGCATCATTATGCCACCAATTTCGTATTGTCTTAGCCCAAAAATCATTTAATGTTTACAATTGGCGCATTTTTTGATTGCTATGTCTGTTTACTTTCACAATAATCTCTTGCTTTTTTGATTTATTTTAATTTGAATAATATTTATTTTCTTTTCCTTTGGTTCCTCCTCTATAACGCACGCAACGCCTAACACAATCTAACATATGACTCACAAAAACAAACACAAAAATCAAAACAAAAAATGCAATTCAATTCACACACTCTACGCCGCACGCATACATGCTTGTACGCGCGCTGCAACAACAAAAACAACAACACGCTTGTTCGCCGCATGCGTCCAAATACACACGCACAATTGTACACGCACGCGACGRCGCATACGCAGACCGTCCAGTTCGGCATGGGCACAATTGGCAACAATCAATTTCCAGCACAGCTGAGCACCTCACATTCGGACAATGAGATCGATCGGTACCGTCGCAATGCACAAAGCGAACGCGATGACCCAGATTGTGTTGCTGGCGATGCCACTTGGATGCAACGTTCTGCCTCGCTTGGTCAATTGAATGCGGCACAATTGGAGTTTTCGGAAGATGACGAGCAGCTGGATTTGTTGCCGCTTATGCGCCAAGAGCAACAAATGTTCGACGAAGAGGAGCTGGCGGTGGTGGGAAGTAGAGAAAAGGGTGCGGCACGTTCACGTGAGTTGCCCACACGAAAGGCGCGTACACGCAAAACATCCACAACAACAATAACAACAGCAACAACACGTGATAGTAAACAAAGCAAAGCGACTGCGGCGAAAGCCACGGGCGCAGGCATCAGAGGACGGCGCAAATTGCGCGATGCCACACCGGACATGGACATCGATATCGAATAAATGCACAAATGCAGTTATATTTTGTATGTAGCTGGGACCTGCATCATTTGGCACGAAAGCATTTATGTACATACATTCGTATGCAGTTATATGATCTCTGAGCAGACGATAGCAGACGACGTTTGCCAGCCAACAACCTCGAAACGCCACAATTCAAACTATTAATAAAAAAAATTGCTAATTAATTTTATGTATGCTTGTATTAGTTGTTTAAGTACACTATTAGTTTGTAACAATTTTTTACAATTAATTTTTAATATATGCCTACAAATTTTTATACCCAATTTTGCTATTAATCGCTGGTTGTCTCATTGTAAAATCTAAACTACATTCATTTAACGGCACAATATCACACTCATCCTTAAGTGCAAACACAAGAAAAATTTTCTTGCTGCATACCTGTATGTATGTATGTATATAAATTAACGCAACTGATAAACTTCTTTGTGGCGCGCATAATTTATACACAACAGGGTGGCGGCAACCTGGTGCAAACGTTGCGACGCAGTTACAGCTTGAGCGATCTCTCGGAGCCAGATGTGCAACGCACGCAGGACGAGGTAAGTGTAGAAGTACAAAAAATAACAAAGAAAAATTTAAAATGCAAGAACAAAGAAATAAATGAAATATAAAAAAAAAAATAACTAAAATATACCAAAAAAAAAACGACCAAAATAAAAATTAAATAAAAAAATATAAAGAAAATTTTAAAAAAGAAATTTTAAGAAAAAATATAAAAAAAAATTTAAACAACAAAAATAAAATAAAAAGCAGTAACTGAACAATAGCGCCCTTCCAATTGTTGACTAAAATCACTTTTCTTTTTCACAAAAAAAATTTGAAAAAATAACAAAAATAAAAGAATATAAAAATAAAAAATTAAAAAAACATACCAATTAAAAAAATCAAGAACAACAATATCATGAAAAGCAATAAGTGAACAATAGCGTCTTTCCAATTATTGACAATAATCATTTTTCTTCATACAATTGCACACGCACACACACACACATACATACATACATACATACATGCATACATTTTATTGCGCCATCAGATCGACGAAGTCGTGCAAATGCGTTCACAGCAACGGCTGCTGCGTCCACGTCCGCAGGCAAGTATTGCCCGCTCAGCGTCGGGTACACGCCACTCAACCGGCATGTATTTCTCCGAGGTGGATGTTGCTAAGGGTGCGGATGGTTTTAAGTAAGCATTGACTTTTGCTACATACATATGTACATACATACATACATATGTATATGAACAATTGCGCTTAACAAAGGAATTCTCATTCTTGTCGCCAATAGCTACAATATAAGATCATCGGAAGACATTAGTTCGGGTTACTCCAGCGCCGAGCCGGTATCGGTTGGCCTAAGCAGAACATCGTCGATGACAAATGCTTCGAAAACACGTTTGAAAGCCAGRCGTACAACAGAGGTAAGGCGCAAGCGTTGATGCTTTTATGTTTTTTTTCTATTATTATCATTATTTGTCTGCTACTTTGTGGCTTCAGTGTAGCGAATTGCAGTTAAAATCTATAGTAGTTAATTAAAAATATTGCTGAGATGAATATGTATGACAGCAAAACTCTATATATATATGTATATATATCAGTATATAAAATTATATAACACTAAAGTAGCCGCGCATGCAGTTTTTAAAAATTATTAATTAAAATATTTAAAAATTTGAGATTTGAGTTTTTTGTAGCATGCGATAAAGAAGTATTGATCGCGTTATTTTTTTGTAGCATGCGACAAAAAAGCATTGCATATAATGTATAGGATTTGCTGCGCACGGTAAGCAAATCTGCTGTCGTTAACGATATACAAAATTTATTAAATTCTTTTAGAATAATTTTTAGAAGAACAAAAACTCTAAAATTCAAAGGTATTCGAGATTTTTTGTTCACTGGACAAAAATTGAAATAGTTTTGTTTTTACTTAAATTTTTTTTTAAAACACAATTGTAAATGAAATCGCTACATTCGTTCGTATGCGCCTAAAAGATGCAACATAAAATTGTAGCTTGCATATGTGTATGTATTGTATATGCACAGGCGCATACCGTTTTACAGCAATATAGCAAATTATTTTAAATTATTTTTCTTCAAAACCAAAGTTTTTGTTGCCGGAAAAATCTCAAACCTTTGTGTTAAAATGAACGTGGAACAAAGGCAATACAGGGTTTGTCCGGAAWGTAATAAGACTGAGTCGATTTAAAAAAATTGATTGAACCAATCGTTACAATTCTTTAAAAACTTTTCCAAGCATTGAAGGTCTCACGGAAKACATYCTTCGGAATAACCTTGAGTGCCGAGGTATATGCTRCTTGGATCCCCTTTCATCGGTGGAAAGAAAGGCGGTGTGAGCCGGGGYGTTGTCGTGGTGCAACTTCCAATCGGCTGAGATGTCTCGTCGGACCCGATGAACCGTTCGTTTGAGTCTCTTGRGGACTTCCTTGTAAAACTTGGCGTTGACGGTTTGTCCWGGAGGAAGAAATTCATGGTGGACGATGCCCTTAATGTCAAAAAAGACAATGAGCATCGGTTTCACGTTGGATTTGCTCATTCATCAGCGACCTCTTCCCGGTTCTCCAAAAAGACTTGTACCACGTTGCGCGAAAATGTTTGTCCTGACTCTCCAAGTGCTCGGAGATAACTGACCGGCCGCTCGTTCGTTAACTAGSAACGCCCTCTACCGAATTCAGTCGTTGCGCGCAGACTYCGAAGTACAGTCGCGGCGGGAGAAAATCAGTCCTGTTACTTTCCGGACAAACCCTGTATGTCCATTACGCACTCTTTCTCACGCGGCTTTTCGAAAAACAAATAAACGCTCAACAAAGTACCGATTTCGTTATGTCGAGATTCCTAACCTAAAAAGTACTTGTACTTTATTTTTAATATGTTTTAATTTTTAGTTTTTTTTTTACAGGTTTCTGTTTAATATTATTTGCTTCACATTTTATAATTTATTTTATATTATTTATTTGAAACCCCGTATCCCGATAGATTTTAAATGAACCCGAACACAAGTTTAGGCCCAGTGCTCAAGAGTTTAGGGGAAGTTTAGAAGATTTTGAAGCATTACACGATYCAACCGTCGTCGATATACAGAAATGCATACAAATTTTAGAGGAGATGCCACATATCGAAGGCGACGACGGCAACTGCTTGTCAGTTGAAAAAATGCAAACCATTGATGAGATCAATGACGTGGATTGTAGCTTTGAGGTCGAAACTGGCGTTGAAGAAATTATAAAACTCAAAGACCAAGCAACGGTCACAATAATGCAACAGCAATCAGAAGCCGAGCTGGACGCAGTGGAGGAGACATGCGAGGCGCCCATGGCMGACATCGTTGAAGTAGCATTAAAGGACGATTATTATTTGAAGGAGGATAACAATTCTATTTACAGTAACAGCGATACCTACAACACACTCSAAAGCAGCGATGAGGACAATGAAAGCGATGTCTTCACAGATGCGCTACCCACATTAGAGTCAGCTGAAGGAACAAACCCGGAGAAAGATRGCGAAGAGACGCCTGCAGACAGCTTTGAACAGCAAGRGATTACAACTGCTTGCGCGCCACCCGATTTACCCATAARRGCCAACGAAATCGTAAACCAAGCTGTGGCTCAAGCAACCACAACCAGCGTCGAACCTCAAGCAACTGCCGAAAAACCAAAAATCAATGCCAAAGAACTACAAGACACCTTAAAAGCAATCAAAGATAATTTTCGTGCCAATATTGCAACAACAACAACAACAACAACAATACCAACATTAACTTCTTACACAACTGCAATTGACAGTAAATTACAGATGCCACGCCCACTAACGCACAACAAGGGCAAAGCACCAGCTCCACCATTGCCGTCGCGTCCCACACGTTCAACAGATGTTGTTGTGAGCAGCACACCATCACTTAGTAGTAACGTGGATGCGGCTAGCTTATCCTCACGTAGTCCTTCGCCAGCGCCGCACCGGAACATATTCCGAAATATAAAAAGCAATCTCTTGCGTTTGGCCAGCAACAACAGCTTGACGGGCAAAGCAAGCGAAGCGAATGCCGAAAAGCCAACTACCCGTTATGAGACGCAATTGTAAATTAGTTCTAGTTCCAAGTACTAAGCATATAAGCTTATAGACTCTACAACAACAACAAAGCACCCACTTATATAAATGGTCTACAAATACAACAATTCTTTTAGAACTGTAAGCAAAAACAAGCTACTTCTGTTGCAATGTTTCAAAATGTTGGACTGTGTTTGTATTTAAGCCGCTGCTACTCTACTGTTCCCCCCCGCTAATGTTTGTTGCTGCAACGAATTTCGCAGTTGCAGCTTGCAGTTGCGCATCTCTATACATACAAACTACCATCATTATTCGTTAACTCATGAAATTGTACATAAGATTCATACTCATACAAGGAAACCCATATACATGTTTGTGCCAATGTGCGTACATTTTGGTTGGTAACAACAAAGCCGGTACGTCGTAGCGCATTTAACAGCTTGCAAAAATCGCGTATCTGCAGTTTACCCAAAAACACACCTGCCCGGCGACACATGCGCACCTATTTCCTTGGATACAATAAAGAAATGCACATTTGTGGCACTTTTTCTTTGGCTCAAACTAACCTAAAATGTTTCAATCGGCTTCTGATGAGCGTAATAATGGAGCGCATAGTGGAGCGCAGCAACGTTGGTTCAAAGTACAATTGCGTTAAATACTTGTATACTACATTTCTGATTTTTGTGTTTTTTTATAGCTACTTGGCACGGCGCTCCACTATGTGCTGACCCTCAAACAGTTTGCGCTTATATCAAGTTTACACTCATTGATAATACATGCATGTGCTCCTTTGTTCCACTGAGCATGTGCAGTTGCATTTTTGTTTGCCCTGCTTATACTATCTTTCACAATTTTGCTTTTACTATCAAATTTTAATTATATACATACATATGTACATATAAATATACATATATATTTCTTTGCATTTTCATTACAGGTTATGTCGGCTAGCTATACCACGCTTCCACGCACCAAAAAGTCTGAAAAAGTCATTGGAGCCACGACGAAAACGCGCAGCAAGACGCAATCGCAGAYGGAGAAGTAGACCACAGACAACAAACAAAGAAACCGCAGACAAAAGCAAGTCGTAATCAAACTGAAAGACTCAACAAACATCGGCATGAAAAGCAAAARCAATAATTTTTGCAGCAATGGCTTACGAAAAGGCAGCTTAAAGGATTTTTATTGCTGTACATTTAAATTGAAGCTATACTTACTAGTATGGAATTGTTTATACATATATGCTTCTAACGAATTGTTGTCCAAGTTATAATTAGTTTTTTAAGCCGTCAAGCTTTGAAGAACCGATGACCGTTGGCTGTTTTTATTCTTTCAAAATAATAGCGTTTTCTTTTCTCACAAAAATGTTGCACTTATACTGCTCTATGCAGGGGCTATAAGTTGCATGTTCTTTTCGCAAAATATTGTATTAGAAACAGGCAAAAGTGTAACATTTTCGACCCTCCTAAAACGTAACAGTGGTCAGTGGCCCCGTGAATTTTCATTTATGGTTTCTAAATAGTTTCAAAGTATTTAAACGAGTAAAAGAAAAAGTGTTCAATGATAAGCGTTTTTTTTTTGTTAAAAATTACAAAAATTGTGAAAAGAGGAGCTCAACTATTAGTTTGAATTATATTTAATAAATTTATTATATTGTATGCAGTAATTATGAACGTAAACAATGCAACAGCTGATTCATAATAGGGTGCCATTTTTTTTATTATTTTATAATTCAAGAAATGGAAGATTTTGCATGAAGTAATGGAACATTTGCACATATAATTATATTTGCCATATAAGGAGGCAGCATTTCCTTCGAGAAAAGAAAACGCTGTGAATATTGCGACTGTTGCGCAGAATCTAACCCTACCCCGCTACCGTTAATTCTCCTCTCGCTCTCCTTTAGCGTTATCTACCCAAAATATCAAGTAAAAGTGATTATAGCAGAAAATATGTCCAAACTTAAAGTTAGTTTATGTTTTATGTATATATATACATATATGTATATGCTGTGCAGTAGGATCTCTCTACGTGTGTGGCCTATGTGATACGGCTTGTGTGGACTATATCATTTGTGTATGCCGCCAGCTGAATGCAGGTTTTTGTGTGTTATTTTAGTTAATTTACTAATACTAATGTTAAATAGCATCGAATGTTTATGTTTTATATAGCAATGAGTGAGCAATGCGCGAACAAAGCAAAAAGTTAAAGAAATATTATAATTGGATGCTAGAGGTTTTCAGCTAGCAAATTACAAAAATTGTGAACAGAGGTGCTCAACTATTAGTTTGAATTATGTTTAATTAATTACTTTCATATATGAATACATGCATATATATTATAATATGAATCGCACATGCATACATACAAATATACATAAATGTATTTACACTTAAGTTCTCGTAACTCCTACAACACTTTAGTTAAGCATATTATATGTACATATATATCTTTGTATGTATGTATTGGCCAATTAAAATTTCCTTCTATTTCCCTCCGCCAGATGATGTACTATATACTCGCATATTCGACAACGTTTGTATATATAGTACATACCTACATATGTATAAATGTAATGAAAATAGTTACTAACATTAAGAACGATAAATAAAAAATGCATTCAGTTTCCTTAAGTTTGTGTAATAACATTTCGGTGTATGTGTGTTAACTCGGCTATAACCGCATAAGCGTTTTCTACGCCAATAAAGCAGAAGAAGTATGAGTGTACAGCATGGATATATTTACGAGATAACTTCTATTGCACCAAAGATATATTAGCCTTCACAAAGGCAAGAGTTTTTCGTAGAAGGACTGATTTTGTTCGATCAGTTTGTATGCTCATTCCCATAGAGAGTCGAAAACGTGTTATGGCGACGAACCACGTCCAGTATGGCCATCAGCATCAACTGATGGTCAACATGTCAATAAAATAAAGGAATTGGGGCTTGAGAATCGACGATTAACAGTTAGCAAAGTGAAAGTACGGTTAGTTCCAAATTCACTAAATTTTTTCGAAAAACAGCGTCGCATTAAAAAAACAATGCTTTCCGGCTACCAGAATGTCATGAAACGCATTATTACTGGCGATGAGTTTTAGATCTATGCTTGCGACCCGTAAACAGATGACAAATAGGACGAATATCGTGGCAAAAGTGACCCGAAGCCGAAAAACTCGTCAAAGCAGATCAAAAATCGAGGTTATGTTAACAGTTTTCTTCGATTTTCGAGGTTTAGTGCACTCCGAATTCCATACAAGCAAGAATACATTAACACAGGGCACCGAACGTTTCCTTCTTGGTGTTACAAACTTCGTGGTTAACTTAATATACCTTGTTCCCTGTATAAATGATGAGTTTAACGGATTATAAGTACACCCTTTTAATGTTCGTTGGAAAATTGATTTTTTTGGTTTTCAATTAAATCAAGGGCCATCCTAGTCAACGAGGCTTATAACGAGTGTATAGAAAGTTGGATTAAGTGTTTAAATGTGTGTGTTGCCTCAAATCGAGCCTGTTTTGTATGTGACAATAAACATTTGCGAATCCGGGTCAATTGTGATCATATATTATTTCTTGGAAATCTCTATGTGTGCCTTCTTTCCTTCTTCTGCTTATCCAAAAGTTACACTCAGTTTTAGGACCAGACTATTGAAACTCATCAAACTACAAAAATCTCCGATAGTTTAGGGAGATGCCCAAGCTACGTAAGAACATCTTTTCTCCTCAGTTTTATCACATATTATATAATATGTCAAATATGTATTTTGGAGACGTGGTTGCGCTTGCGCTTCTTCTTTGGCCTGACCTTGACCTTGAAATCAGCTTGTGAAAATTGCGAATACATACATATGTTGACTGGCAACAGCTCTGTGACTGCAGTGAAAGCAGCAGCTGCTTGCCGCATTTCAATTGTGCAGGTATACTGATTCTTGGCTCAACATATGGACACCAATCCATATACACACTGCTATGCACGTATACAATTCATACACACATATGTACATACAAATATAGAAATGTAGCCGTGCACATATGTTAGGCATTAAGGCGAAATTATTTGCAATGCGCAACACTGCATTGGTAAAATAGGAATCCAGCCCGTGATCTACGCATGCCACATTTCCACCATGGTAGTGACTGTACTTTCCAACACAAATTGCGTCGTGGTGAAAGATAAATTATTGTAAAATAATTGTGAGATGAAAATGTAAAACTCCCTAAGGAAATACTCGGTATATGTCCCTACACTAGGCGCATGGTCATAGAAGCCAATAATCATCTTTCGTTAGATTTGTGCGCATTTACTACTACACACGTAAAGAGGAAATGAAATCAAGACATCTGCTGCTATTATGTGTTTTTTACAGCATCGTTAGCATTAATAGTGCCGGTCGCGCCGTACATAGAAACAATGTAAAAGTTAGTAAAACCTGAAATTCGATGTGCTCACCGACACGAAACACCACCAAAGATTCGCCATAGCTTTAGTATATACATATGTATATCTAAATATACAAACATGTAGGCAGCCAAAAACTACCAAGTTATAATATTCGAAACTGTTTTGGGTAAAAAAAAACTAACAAAAATGCAATATTTTAATGAAAAAAAAACAATTTTGTTCTCAAATCAGCAGCTCCAGTATTTTAATTTACAATTAAAAAACAATCACAGTGATATTTGAAATTTTATTTTGAAGGTTCGTGCTTCTGAGTTGGGTTTCTTTGCTCTTCTTCGTTATATTCTTTCTTGGGTTACTCCGGACTGCTATATACTCCGCTCCTTCAACTGGGCCTGATACCCGGCTCCTTACAGCAAAAAAACAAAAATGCATTGTGTCAACATTATCGTATCAGCCCAGTTAATTAGCTATGTCAGATCACTTTAAATGAAGATGAAGTTTATGATGATGTGGTGTTGTTCGTGGTTGGACTGTGTATGTTCACTGGAGGAGATGAATATGAAGCAGTAGTAAATCTCAATTTCGATCGACAACAAACAATTTCAATTTCTCATTATTACTTAGACGCAGTTCCGCTTCAATATATCTGCGCCATTTGCTCCAAAAAGCCGTAAAAGCGCTCAAATTGGAATTAGAATTTTTTTTGTATTGAAAATAGGTTTTATAAGGAAGGAGAGTGTGAGTTTAATTTTTTGTTTTATGTTTTTTTCTTTTATTTTTTTTTTATAAGTTGTTTTCAATTGTAGTGTATGTGTAGTATACGAAGTCATGCCGCTACTTAATTGCGGCTCCCTTTCTCGTCACATTCGCGTCTCAGATGGCCGCTTTTGCCGCAACCATAGCATGTCTTCGCTGTATCCGGACAGTTCTTGGAAATGTGACCTGTGCGGTTGCACTTATAGCATGAAATGTTGCTAACATTTCGATCGTTAAGAGCCTCTGGGCAATTACGCGCCCAGTGACCAAGCTTGTTGCACTTATAACAAGTGGGATTGTCAGCTTGTGAACACTCCTTCGAGATGTGTCCAATTCCATTGCAACGATAACAGCGTTCTGCTTCCTCGGGGCATGTACGCGCAAAGTGACCAAGTTGATTGCACTTGTAGCACTTTTCGCGAGCACCTCCACGTCTCATATCACGGCCTCCTCCTCCTACCATACCGCCACCGGCGTTGCAGTCGCGGGCAAAGTGGCCTGGACGGTTGCACTTATAACACGTGGGAGCTGACATTTTTCTTCCTTGCTTATCTGCTATCGCGGGTGTCTTACCAACTAAAAAGTCTTTGCCACAGTCCAAACGTTAAAACAACTAAATGCAGCGCGCTCCTCTCGGTGAAAATTGCTTTCACCACTCCACGCACTGAACACAAATCGAAATGGCTGCCGACGTCGACGTTCGTCCAAAAGCGCCTCCGACTACTTCACAAAAATGCCCCACAAAACTCGAAAACCAGGGTTACCTGTCTCTAATCCATACATACACATAAGTGCTGCCAATCCTGTACCATGCATATTCACTGCCACATGTAAATTGCCTCATTTTACGCAACATACTTTGCATTGCA